CTTTCTTGTTAACCATGTTAACCTACATTTATTTGTTCAAGGCCTGCCTTTGCCACACCTTCTGCATAACCAAGAAGGGAGGGACATTCTGTGTAACATGCAAATTAAAAACCCAGACACTGATATTGGGGTTCAAGCTTCAAGGTGAAAATCAGAAAAGCAAAGCAGCCAACCATTAGCTCTCACTCTACCTCAGGCTGAAAGGGATGCCCTCTTTTCCAGTCACAACCATGATGCACGACTATGTACTCACTAGGATAGCTTTAGTAAAAAGACAATAAAAAGTATTGACACAAATGTGAAGAAATCTGTACCCTCATGTATTGTTAATTTATTATAAAATGGTTCAAACTGCTTGGAAAAAGTTTAATAATTCCATACATTGCTCCATACAGTTGCCATGTGACCCACTACATATGTATCACCAAGAAAAGAAAACTTGTCTGGATGATAGCTGATTTTTCATTATAGCAGTATGTGCATTAGCTCCGAATTGAAACCACCCAAGGACCTAACCCAATGACTGGAGAGATAGTGTGCACTAACTAGGAACTATTACTAATCTACTGGGTGAATGAAGTCTTGATGCTTGAAAACTTTATGTAAAGCAAAAGAAACCAGTTGCAAAATACCATATATTGTACCACTAATTTATGTGAAGTGCTTGCAATAAGCAATTATAAGAGAAAGTAGTTGAATAGTTGTTGCCTTGGACTGAGAAGAACAGGGGAGTGTAGGTGGAGTTTCTCTGTGTTCTGGCAGTCACTCCCAAATAACCACACAGAGACTTATTAATTATAAATGCTTGGCTGATAGCTTGGGCTTGTTGCCACCCAGCCCTTACAACTTAAATTAACTCATTTCTATTAAGATATGTGCTGCCCTGTGTCTCAGTTACCTCATCTATGAACTTCCTGTGTTGGTGCTTCAGTGTTTGACTTGTGCCTCCTCAGACTCCACCCTTTATCCTTCCCAGCATTCTCTCTGTTCCCAAAATCCTTCCTAGCTGTTGGTCAATCAGCTTTTTATTAACAGTGAGAGCAACACATTTTCACAGTGTACCAAAGGATTATTCTACAGCATCTCTCCCTTTTGTACAAATTAAAAAGGAAGGTTTTAATTTTAACATGGTAAGATTATACACAGCATAGTTATCAAGTAAGAATTACATTTATAATGTCTGGTCCCTTTGTATTTGGCAAATTTAGAGAAAAGATTCTATTATTTATCTTTGTGAGTCTAAAGTTTAAACCTAATTGACCTTTTTATCATAACATAAAAAAAATCTTCAAGTGTAATTATTTGTCTTTAACACCATCAAAGACCCTTACAGAAGGGTCTAATGTTACCTTAGAACAGGAACATCTGGCTCCCTGGGCAGTCACCCATAGCTCTTCTGTAATGTTGAGGCATCCATCTTTGGCCCACAGTCCTAATGTATCTGACAGAAATTTTTGAGAAGTAGGGAAATATGAAGGGCTGTCCTACTTTGTCTTGATAATTTTAGCAGTTACTTTGTGTGTGTGTCCTCTTTGTCCAGTTTGGACAGTATACTGTCAGCAACTGAGGCAAGGGCAGTTTCAGTTTCTTTGCTCAAATGGCTAGCTTTTGCCTAAAGAACACAAACTCCATACGGATTTTCTCTGATGTCCATCATCCTCTTTTGAAGCAAATTGGTGCTGTCAGGAGCAAATGTGTCTGTCATGAAAAGCGTTAGGTTATTAAACATATTAAATGCTATATTCTGTAGGTCTTTGAAGTGTTTGAAGACCACCTATCTATCTAAATATATCTGTTTAACCTTGAAAACATATCTAACATGACTATAAGTTTAACTATTATAGATGAGTAACTATTAATCCGTATTTCCTAATTATATATTACATTTTTAAATGAGCTGTACAAACACAGTACCCCAAACAAGACTAGAAACTACATATAGGATAGCCAAAATAACTTTAAATTTGTATCAATAAACAAAAATCCATACCAGTGTAAAATATTTTGAGGTTTATAGTTGTGTTTTGGGTTAAAGTAGATTTGATAATCTCCCCTTTTTTTCTGTCATTCCTATTATCATATTCTTTTTTTTTAGAAAGAGATCTTTGAATTTAACTCTTGTTTAGCTTTTTTTTCTGATTGAAACCAATAGCAACTTGTAACCAACCCCCTAAACAATGACAGACATCCATAATTCTTTTAATAACACAAACCCACCCATACCCTATATCTTGGGAGTGTGGGTGTTGTTCTCTAGACTACATCTAGGCTCTGTTATCTTTGAGGGAAGCTTGAGAAAATCAGGATAATTGTAAAGTCTTGACTGGAGTAGGTTGTAAGGTTGGACCATCTCAGTCAATAGTCTTGAAGCTGTTATGGATGTAGAATTGTGAGGAGACTGTAACAGAGGCATTTTGAGATGCTGGGTCACTTGGCCATCCATTTTCATTGATGTTTGGTCCTCTTATTCTGAAAATATATAAACTTTTAAAGGTAGCATACATGTATTATTGCAAGTATAGACTATATGTTGTACACAGTTTAGCCAAAGATGATTTTGTAGTATGTGTGCTATGTTTGAACAGGTAAGATATAAGTGACATATTTTGTAGTTTTTTTTAGGTTTGTTTATTTATGTATGTAGTCAGAATTTTCAGGGTGTCTTCCTTAATTAAACCTAATCCATATCAACCTGAAATGAGGGCTGGAGAGATAGCTCAGAGGTTAAGAGCACTGCTTGATCTTCCAGAGGTCATAAGCTCAATTCTCAGCAACCACATGCTGACTCACAACCATCTATAATGAGGTCTGATTCCCTCTTCTGGGGGGCAGGCATACATGCAGGCAGAATACTATATACATAATAAATAAATCTTTTTAAAAAATCAGCCTGGAATGAACCCATAGCCTCTCATTTCTTGTGGCAATAAAAGCAAAACCTCTTCCCCAAAGTAATATTTTTGACTTCCATTTTGAAGTCAAGACATTTTAAAAATATATTGGTTGGTTTAATCTTGCATCTTTTATAATCTAGTATAGCATAGATCCTTCATGAGCAATCAGAAAATTTAAAGATAACACAATACCATACAGGATCCAGACCCCTCATTTATTTTCCCTCTTTATGCGGCTTTAAAAAATTCTTTTTTTTTTTTTTTGTTTTACGAGACAGGATTTCTCTGTATTGTTTTGGAGGCTGTCGGTCCAGCCCGGTCCTCTAACTCACAGAGATCTGCCTGCCTCTGCCTCCCGAGTGCTGGGATTAAAGGCATGCGCCACCACCGCCCGGCCAAAAAAAGTATTTTTTTAAGGATTTGACTTTATTATTTTTAAGCTATTTTTTAGGACTGTCTATATCCAAGCCTATGTATATTTTAAAATACACTGTAACCCATTTAGAAGTTTTTTCCATCTGGATCTGTCTTTACTGAGTATCTATATTGTTTTCTGATTGCATGAGATGAATCTTAAACTACTATGTCAGCTGCCAGCACTGTGCAGCTTAGTGTATGGCAGTAGCCTAGCATGGTGGTTTACATCTGGTTCCATCTTGCAGGCAGCTGCTGGGAGAGTCATCTTTGTACTGCAGCCAGCACGAGAACCACGAGATTAGGAATCCACATTTGGCTTCACTTTTTTGTATTTAGAAACTTTTAAAAACTTTCTCAGGTCTTATGTGGATGTAGGTGCTGGACTTTTAGATGCCATATGTAGGTGGACTTTTCTGTCCTGCCAGCCAGCTTCCAAGTAACCATAGAGAAACTTATTAATTATAAATGCTTGGCTGATAGCTAAGGCTTGTTACTGGCTAACACATTTTAAATCAACCCATATTTCTTCTGTTATGTTATGGTACATTCTTTCAACACAGCATGTTCATCTGTTTTCTGAGTCTGCTCCTGACTCCACCCTTCTCCTTCCCAGCATTCTCTTAATCTGGTTTTTTTCACCTAACCTTATTCTGTAGTCTATGACTGTAGACTAGTCAGCTTCTTTATTAAATCAATCACAGTGAGATATATTCACACAGTGTAAATAAATATTCTACAGTGGGGAATTTTGGGAGTGATAGCCTTTGAGAGTAAGGCTTTTGGGGGTGGTAAAAATACTGTAAACGTGATTGCAAGAGGTTGTTGTAGTCACTCAGTGCTAGAACACTTGGTTGGCATACCCAAGGCCCTTGCTTAGTCTCTGTTACTGGGAGAAATAATGGTTGTGGTGGTTGGACATTTTTGGTGTTAAAATGAGTGATTTTTAGATTTTAAATGAATCAATTTATGATATGTGAATTATATTTCAACAAAAGTACTTTGAAAATGAAAGATCATCTCTCCAGGAAGATATGCATTTGTGTTGTTTAAGCTTAGCCTGCACCCCCATATGAAGTCTTCTCCAAATAACAGCAGTTTTCAGTGTTATCTCTCTTGCTGCTGTTCTGTATTAACTTACTTTATGCATCTATCTGTTGTGTTTATCTCTCATACTCATTAGCCATTGCATGCTTGTAAAGAGAGATTGTCTAGTGTCTACATATCAGGATGGTTGATAATCTTTGTAAACCAAATGCCCATTTGTTGTTTATTTAGTGGATCAAATTTTAAAGGAACCTATTCTTTTTATCCAATGTAATTATGTATAAGACTGAAAAGTTTTATATGGTTTATACGGTTTGCAAAGTCTTACAAAAATATATTCATATGTAGAATTTAAATATTAGCAAAAATGTTTGTCAACCATGTACCATATATTATCAGCAATGCTAAGCTCTGGTAAGGTACTGTAAAGAATCAAATCATATCTATTCCTCATGAGTAGTCTACTTTGGGAGTGATTTCAAAGACAGGCCTGGAAAGTTCATTACTGGACACATGTAAAGTTAGTAAAGTAAGTGCTGAGCCTGTTTGGAAGACTAGAATGAGCCAGAGTTATTCAGAAAACCTTAACAGAGAAGGGGCTTTCAGACAGATTTGTTTTAAAAAGCCAATTTCTTTTTTTTTCAGGTACAAAACTCAAACATGAACAAGGATACATATTACCAATGTTCAAAGCTGATTTGGGTAGAACTGGAATACAGTTGTATACAGCATATTCTAGAGGAATTAAAAAAGTCAAAGTAATGGATAATAGAAAAGAGCCTCCATTCTTCAATGAAGATAACGTGGGACCATTTTACTTCAAACTTCCTTTCTATGACACCATGGAACTCTTCATCGAAACATTGACTGGAACATGTTTTGAATTAAGAGTTTCACCCTTCGAAGCTGTTATCTCTGTGAAAGGAAAAATTCAAAGATTGGAAGGTACTAGTCTTTGTTTCTACAATATGAGGATAAGAACCTAATGTATATACTGTATACTTGGGGAAGGCTATACCAGTGTCTCTTTAATGTGCTATTCAGAAGTCTTGTTTGTGTTGCTGGCTCTGGAACACTCTGTAGAACTTTGCCTGTAAAATTTTCCAAGAGTCACAGGTTTAGGGTATGTAGAAAAATGAAAAAATACTTTGTTATTTTTAAAAGTTTCATATATATGTATATTAATATATATTTATATACTGTTCTTTTTCTTTGACAATTTCATATATATAATCAATGCATATTATCATGTATACCCCAAAGTGCCCCTTTCCATCCCCCCAGGTTCCCTCAACATGCCCCTCTGTACTCTTCATGTTCTCTCTGTCTTTTTTTATTTGTAACCCACTGAGTTCAGCTAATCTGCTTGCTGGAATGTTGACTGATCTTGTAGACTTGGTCTTGTGCAGGTCACCAGAGCTGCAATTAAGTCCATGAGTTCAGTGACCATATCCTGCCCAGAAGACTCTTTCAGGCATTGGTGGTGCACACCTTAATCTCAGCACTCAAGAGGCAGAGGCAGACAGATCTCTGAGTTCAAGAACAGCCTGGTCTAGAGAGTGAGTTCCAGGACAGCCAGGGCTACACAGAGAAATCCTGTCTCAAGAAAAAAAAAAAAAACCAAACCAAACTAAACCAAACTCAAACAGACAAATAGAAACACTCACTTCTATAATGATGACACCAGCTTACAGTCCCACTAACGGTGGATAACCATTCCTCTTTCTTATATCCTTGCCAGCTTTTGTTGACATTTTTATTTCTTGATGGTAGCTATTTTAGATGAGGTAAAATCAAATCTCAAACAGTTCTAATTTGCATTTCCATTATGGCCAGTGATGTGGAATTTTTTCCTAAAAACTCATTACCCATTTACACTTCATTTTTTGAGAACGCTGTTTGGTTCCATGATCCATTTTTTTTCACTGTTTTTATTGGGTTGATATTTTCCTGATTTTTAGTTTCTTGATTTCTTTGTGTTTTAAAGATTAATATGTTAATCTTATTGACATATGTAGCCAGCAAAATTTCCTCTGATTCTGTAATCTGTTTCTTCATTTGACTGGCATTTTCTTATGGTGTTAAAATATTTTTTAAATTTCTTGAGAACCCACTTGTTGATTGCTAGCCTTGTTTCTTGAGCAGAATCCTCTGCAAAAAGTCCTTACCTATGCTTCCTGAAGTGCATTCCCTATCTTTCCTTCAATGGTTTCAGATTTTAGTTGAGGTCATTGATCTGTTTATAGGCAATCCTTTTTCTACATGCAGACATCTAGTTTCCCCAGCACTGATTGTTGAAGATGCTGTCTTTTCTCCAGTGTGTATTTTTGTCAAAAATCAGATGTCTATAGTTATGTGATCTTGTAACAGGGGTCCTCTGTTCTATTCCATTCATCAGTGAGTTTGATTTTTGTACTAGTACCATGCAGTTTTTATTTCTGTGGCTCACCAATGGTGATACCTCCAACTTATTATTGCTTAGGATTGCTTTTTTTATCTGGGGTCTTGTGCTCTGCATTCATTTTAAGACTTTGTTTTCTTTTTCTGTGAAGAATGTCAATGGAATTTTGATTGGGATTGCATTGACTCTATAGATTGCTTTTAGTAAGATAGCCAATTCCACAATAGTGATTCTTCCAATCCATGAACATGGAAGGTCTTTCCATCTTCTGGTGTCTTTCTCAAATTCTCTCCAATATTTTAAAGTTTTCATTATAGAGATCTTTCACATTTATGGTTAGCTTTATGCCAAGGGTTGTTTATTTTTTCACATAATATGTGTGTTTTTAGGTACACACTAGGGCTTACTAAAGGAAAAGAATACCCAAGTTAAAGTAAAAAATGAAAGACACCTTAGGCTAACACTAATCCAAATAAAGCAAAAGTAGCTGCCGACAGAGTAGAGCTTCAGAACTGAGAAAGTGATCAGTGCAAAGTGGGTGGTGCCTTGCAAGTGATAGAAGAAATACGCTTTATAACAAAGAGGTGTCTACACTTGCAAGTGATAGAAGAAATACGCTTTATAACAAAGAGGTGTCTACACTTGCAAGTGATAGAAGAAATACACTTTATAACAAAGGGGTGTCTACACTTGCAAGTGGTAGAAGAAATACGCTTTATAACAAAGAGGTGTCTACACTTGCAAGTGGTAGAAGAAATACGCTTTATAACAAAGAGGTGTCTGCACTTGCAAGTGATAGAAGAAATACACTTTATAACAAAGAGGTGTCTACAACAAAAGACTCTTTCTTCTATCCAATCTATAATGAGCTTTGTGAAGTTTTTTTTTTTTTTCTTTTTGTTTTATTTTGGGATAGGTCTCACTCTTGCTAGGCCTGGAACTTGCTATTTCTGAAGCTGGCCTTGAAGTAATGATCCGCCTCAGCTTACAGGTTTATGCTACCATATCTGGCAAGGCCTGTCTGTTTTCCTTCCTCCCTCCGTTTCTCCCTCCCTCCTTCCCTCTCTCCCTCCCTCCCTCCTTTCCTCCCTTTCTTTCTTCCTAGCTTCTCTCACTCTCTCTCTCCCTCCCTCCTTTTCAAGGCAAACTTATATGTATCCTATCTTGGCTTTGAACCTTCTATGTAGCTGAGGATAACCTTCAGTTTCTGACGACCTTGTCTACATCTCCCAAGTGCTGCAATTTACAGGCATGCACCTCTGTGCCCAGTCTGTGCAAGGCTGGTGATTAAATCCAGAGCTTCGTGCATGCTAGGCAAAGCACTCTACCAATGAACACCGTTCCTAGGCTGTCGTCGTCGTCTTCTTCTTCCTTTTTTAATCTAACAGTCTCTGAATTTTAACTGATGGGGATTCAAATATTGTTAGACTGACATCTGCCGTATTTGTTACTGTTTTATGTTAGTTGCCCTTGTTCTTGGTTGCTATTTTTCTTCCTCTTTATTTTGCTATTTAATTTGATTATTCTATATGATTATGTTTTTCTTATCCTTCTTAGAATATCACATATATTTTTAAAGCAGTCATCCTAGAGTTTTCAGTGTATTTACTTGGTAGTGAGTACATTTACTTTCTAAGCCATCTCACCAATTTTTGTTTTAATTAGCTTTCCAATTTATGGCTTTTTTTGTATAACCTCTCGTTTGTCCTGTCTAATAACTCTGCTTGTCCCCTATCTCAGTTCTTCTTTATCAGCTTAGACCTTTTGGGCTGGCTAGTTTTTATTGACTTGACACAAACTAGTGTCACCTAGGGAGCAGGAACCTCAAAATTAGGAATTTCCTGCATTAGATGTGAGGAATTTTTTAATCATTCATTGATGAGAAGAGGGCCTATCCCACTCTGGGTGGTGCTATCCCTAGGCATGTGGGCCTGGGCTGTGTATGAACGGGTTGAGCGAGCCAGTAATCAGCGTTCCTCCATGGTCTCTGCTTCAGCTCATCTTTAGGTCCCTGCTTTGAGTTCCTGTCCTGATTTCCCTTGATGATGAACTAACCTGTAAGGTAAAATAAGCCCTTTGTACCCCAAGTTTCTTATGTTTTGTTTCATCACAACAACAAAGAAACTAAGCAAACTAGCTTTCTACCCTCAATATTAATTAACCTCTTCTCCTTTGTATTTGAAAGATAATTTTATAGAGATACAAATCTAGGTTGGGGGGTTTCCCAAAACTTTGAGCATTTTGCTCCACTTTCTTACTGATTGCAGTCTCTCTTTTTTAAAAACCTGTGTGTCTGTATCTGTATTGTGTGCATGCATATGAGTGTGCCACAGTGCATGTGTGCAGTGGAGGTCACAGACCAGCCCCATGCATGCACACATGTAGCAGAACACCCTCTTATTCTTTCAACTTTGTTTTCTTGTTAGTATTTTGAGAGTCCTGGTGAGTTTAAATTTTTCCTTTTTTTTTGTTTTCTTTGATCTGTGAATTATTTAGATGTTTACTTTTATTTCCAAACTTAAGAACCTTAAAACATCTTACTACTCACCAGTTGTGGGTGATGCAAGTAAGTAGAATATTTATGGTAAATATGGTAGTAATTTGTAGAGGACTGCATAAAATTTGTGTATTATATTGAAGAAAATAAGATAAAACAAGTGCAATGACTTTCATTGATATGATAAATTCAAATTTAACTTATTCAAAAATAGAGAAAAACAGATTTCTACTTAGCCAGGTTATTCACAAGGCAGAAGCAAGAGGATCAGCCCAGGAGCCTGAGGCCAGCTTAACTACTTTGCAAGACTCCATTCTTTTTTTTTTTTTAAATTTTACATACCAATTCCCGTTCCCCCTCCCCCCTCCCACTAGCTCCACCTTCCCACCCCATCCACTCCTCAGAGAGGGTGATACCTCCCATGGGGAGGCAATACTCCATTTTTAAAGACAAACCAAAACCAAATAGACTTTTGATTCTGACTTTAGAGTATAAACTCTTCCTAGTTCTTTATGTATATAATTCAATTATTGTAATATATCAGTAATGTAGTGTTGTGTAGTTGTGTATGAATACATGAAATGTGTAATTTAAATGAAACATACACACACACAATCCTTGGCAGAGTTTTTTTAAGAATCTTTTTAAAAAATTGTTTGAAATTATATTTAGTATATATAATGGAAATAGGATCTGAAATAAGAAAGTATGATTCCTAGATGGACATGGTATTTACATGACTATAATCCCAACCCTTAGGTGGTAGAGGCAGGAGGATTGAGTGGTCAGTGACATTCTCACTACATACTAATTTGACGTCAGCCTGGGCTATATGCTACCTGTCTCAAAAACAAAAGCAGCCATTGCTAAGTTTCTCATGCTCCAGGAAATAACACCACTTCCATGTCATGTAGGCAATCCTGATTAAACTCTGTGGGTCATTTAAAACTCATAGGGTAGAAGGGGAACCTGTTGCAGAGAAGAAATAGCTGGGAGATTGGGAGAGGATAAGGGGAGTTAGTATGATCGAAATATTTTACATACACA